ACACACACACGCGCACACACGTACGCACGGATACAACTAGTATCCTAGCTATTTAATCTTTATGACAATTATGAAAATAATAAAAAGAAGAAGAATATAAATATGAAGAAAAACCCGAGTTACATATATATGAATAAAGTAAATCACTGGGGTAAACCGAATAACTAAAAAAAAAAAAAAATAATAATAATAATGATAATATTGTTTTTACGAATATCGAGCATCCCTCGTCCGATGCACCTGTACCATATATGAGTGCTTAAATAGATGGATGGATCGATGTAAAAAAAAAATACAAAAATATAATATTTACGAAGAAAAATGAATAATAACTGAAAGTGGAAGAACCGGTCGTCCTTACAACTGGTTTTCAAGTTGTTCCAATCGAATAGGTTAACACTTTCGTCCAAGCTAAGGACGTTCGATTCCTCTCTTTCTTCTCTTTAGTTCTCGTACCTGCGAAAAATGGTTAAACAAAAAAAAAAAAATCTTCACTCTCGATGACGTGCGTGTGTACACACGACGACATTCTACTTTCCTCTTGTCCTCTGCACGATGAGATATCCCGCGCGTTGGCACGCGCAATGACGTATTTACCAACTCGGAATCTCGAAAGTTGATATCCACGATTTATAGACAAATTAATATACTACATCTATTTTTGTACTGTAATGTTTAGTTAAACATAGACAACCGATAATAATATTGTAAATAGCTATTATCGTTTGACGCGATGGTTTAATAGTCCCGCTTGAGGCCGATTAAATGTTTACGAAATTATTTCATTTCTATGACGCGTGTCTTCACCTTTTTATTCACTTTTCGTTATTTTATTAATACGTCTCTCTACGTGTTTATTATTATATGGATAATTTTAAATCGAGTTCTTTTTATCTATTTCTCATTGACATATCTTTGGAAAAATAAAATAATGTGAAATAAGAAGAAAGATAAGAAAAAACAATTGACACGGGTCGCGAATATGATTATCAAGTAATACGGTTAATTAAAAAAAAAAAAAGGAAAAGAAATACAGAGTTTGCATCGAAAAAATAGATTGAATAATAAATATAATTATTATCGATCTATATACGTATCTAATATAATATATGCAACAATTTTTAATAGATTCTCATGTCGTCTGATAAATACAAAAAAAAACAACCCATCCCCCTCCTCCCATCTCCTCTCTGCGTGACAGGTATACACCACGTATACGCGGGGTCTGATAAAAAAATAATAAATAAACTCGATCATTATTATTAATATTATTTTATTTTTTTTAAAATAAGTAATCAAATATAAGAACAAAAAAAAACGAAGGAACACAATTCGCAAAAAAGTGTTTCAAGAAAATGTGTAAATAATTTCGACAAATGTACATTATGTGTAAGATTAAATATAATAGGACAACGAATAGAATTATTATAATGATTAGGATATCTGGTTAGCGTACGTTTAGTGGCACGCGTTTGCCTTCGTCGTCGTCGTCGTCGTTGTCGTCGTCATAGTAGTCGTCGTCAACTAGTTATAGTCATCGTCACCGAGCAAAGAAACAGTTGCGCAGTCGAGCGTGCGTGTCGCGTGCGCAGAGATCGGTTAGGTTTATTCGTCGTTGTTGGATGTATAAATTGACAGATCTGATACCGCGCTCGGTTCGTATCGATCGTGATCCGATTTCTCGTCTCGAGTCTCGGTTATAAATCACATATTGTTAAAACATTAATTATCGACACAATAATAATAATAATAATAATATTCGGATTTATTTGACCGGTGCATACCGTGTTGCATGGTCGAACCGATATCACGGGACGATATTTTTAATTAATTATTAATACAATAGTCGATAGTTAAGAAACAACCGTCCGTCCAGTTTTGTTATCAACGATCGAAATATACAAGTGCATTTGATAATAATAATAATAATAATAATTATCTTCATCAAAATCGATGATCACGAAGGAAGGAATCGATCATTGATCTTAGTTAATTCATTAATTGAATGGAATAAAAAGAAGGAAGGAAGGAAGGAAGGAAGGAAGGATCTAAAGGAAATGTTATCTTCTTTTTTTTTTCTTCTTTTTTCCTTTTCTTTCAAGGAAAAAAAAATAACAACAGAATTCAATTTAATTTAAATAAAAGGAAATGTATATATATATATATATACACGTACACGTATAATTTTGGTGTATGAATGATATTGCGTGATCCTTCGATGAAATATTAAATACATATATAGATATGAATTTGTTGAATGATTTTACAATTGGAATATTTAAAGGATATCAAGGATAAACAAGATTTGCTTTTTATATTGTGCTTGTTTTTTCTTTCTTTTTTTTTTTTTTGTAAATTTTATTTTAACGATCTACTCGTTAAAAAAAAAAAAAACGCGTGATTGCAAGAATTCTAACGATACGAAATCGTTAAAACAAAGAGAGAGATATCATTTGCGAGTGTTTGAGAGATCACATTGAGACAACAAAAAAAAAAGAAAAAAAGGAAAAAGAATAAAAAACAAGCAAGGAAAAAAAAAAAAGAATAAATACCTATCGAACGACAAATCTGCACGTGGCATCGTTTATCGTGCCAAGATCTAACTGTAGGTGATCCAAGTGACGCTTCGTTTAGTGCCATTAAGCCGTTCACCTCGGTTTTAATGAAGGTAATATTATAAAAATATATACATGTATAATATATATAGATATATATGTATATATATATATATTTGTTTTTTTGTTTTTTTTTTCATTTAAGTCTCTCCTTCTCCTTCTCTCTGTCTCTGTCTATTTTATTGGAATATAATAGCATATGCCTATCGTTATCGAATCTTAAGCAAAAGTCGTAAAAAAAAGAGAAAAGAAAGAAAAAAAAAAAAAAACGAATACCACGGAATTAATCCGTGTAAAAAAAATAATATATTAATTTAAAAATAAAAGAAGAGAAGAAAACAAATCCCTAATATAAATATATACATTATTTGTATATAATAACACTCTTTATAAATATTAATTTATTTTATTTATTTCTATTTGCTTTCTATTACGATATGTTTAAGACTAAACCAAAATATCAAACGTTACACGGGCTCGTAAATTCATTTTACCCATCCTCGTCGTGACCATGCTAGGCTAAGTCAATTTTTTGTTCAGTCGGGCAGATAAAAAATGGTTGCGATACGATATTGTATTTAGAAACCGAGTGGTTTTGTTTTCTTTCTTTTAGTTGTTGTTGTTTTTTTTTTCTTTTTCTTTTTGGTTACATAAAAAATAAAAAAAAGAAACCCGTTCATAAGAATATACGCAATATAATATATAGAAGAAAGGATACTTTATTTACTACGAGAGTTTACAAACAAATCTGGCACGTATATGCGAACGTTGTGTGTTCGATGCTCGAAAACTCACATGCTGCTCGGACGTGCGAACAACACGTGCGCGCGCACACTGGTCTTTTTTTCTTTTGTTTTTTTTTCTTTCTTTTTTTCACAAATGTGTATAACACTGATAAATTATAATCAAAGATGTGCACGAGCATGAGTTAGAAGAGATCGTTCACGGCGGCATACTCGTTTAATTTGTATGTATATGGCTCTTTACGTATGTGTGATATGTATATATATATATATATATTATAAAACATAAATAGAAATTCTCGTGGCGATAATTGGAAACGATCAACGTGATTATTGCAAAGCGAATCTTTTTCTCATATATCTATATAGATTTTTCATCTTTTTTCTTTTCAATCGTCTTATCTTCATTTGTCATTCTTCCTAACCATTTATTTATTTGCATTTGCATGATTGCAAGACCACGTGCTTATATGACACGTTCGACAATCGTACAAATCGCGTATTTGTGTTCACATTTTTCGAAATAAACATTTGATTCTTTTGATTTAAAAGAAAAAAAAAAACATTAAAATATATATGAAGTTTAATTTTCTTTATTAATTTAATATCGATCGGTGTGTTGAAAATAATTAGAAGATTAACGTATTACTTTATTACGAGATAATAATAATAATAATGATAATAATATGAATTTTATGTCAATAAACGATCGCATTATTCGACACACTTTTTGTTTTCTTAATCGTTTCGATTAAAATGAGAATGATAAATCTTTAGAAAAGGTTATTCAACTATCGAGTCGAGTCATCATCGATAAGAACCATTTGAGATCTTTCGTTTTCTGCATGAGTTTACTTGACCGATTGTGAGTCGTAAGAAAGTAAAAGAAAAAAACAAAAATAATGTCTCGAGTGTTCCACTTGAAAGTGAACACGACGAAAACAGGACGAATGAAAATAAAAGAAAAAAAAGAAAAAGATGAAAAGAAAAATGCACTTTCGTAGAAACGTCCACAAGGTGATATTACATTCAAGGTCGTTGATGTTCGAAATGCAGATAAAAAAAAGAAAAGAAAAAAAGGAATGATTAAACATCACGTTCATTTCATCCAAATTAAATTAAATGATTCATAATCACGCTTGAATCGAATTTTTATTAAATCGATATTCAATGTCAACGCAATTTCTCGATAAATTTCAACCGAATTACGTGTAAGATAATATAAAAAAAAAAAAGAAATCTCGTATGCAAATAAAAAGATTTATCGGCTACGCGAGTCGAGCGTTAAAATGAAAATTTTCAATAAAAATGCACGTAGCAGAATAACTCGACTGATTTCCACGAAATCACGCGACTCGAAGTTGCATAGAAATAGAAGTAGAAATAGAAGTAGAAGAAACGAAATATTATTACTCGAAAAGCATTGACGACAATATCATTGATTTCTTTATTCTTATTTATTCTTCATTTTGTTTAAAATCAGAAATATGCATGAATATGAATTAATAATAGAAACAGTCATTGCGGTTAATCTGACGTACAAGATTTCACGTGAGATATTGCATACCATGAAATAAAAGAGACAAAGAGATTGAAAACTATTTAAAAAAAAAAAAAAAAAAGAAAAAAACAACAAAACAAAAAAACTAATGCATATATGTAAATTATAATTGAGAAATCGAACTGTGGTATTTATAAATTGAAATTGTTGTTTCAAGATCGACTATGAGAGGGATAAAATTACGATATGTGTGGTCTCAAATGGACAATTTAAACTTAAGAAGACATTCTTAAGCGAGGTGAGTTAACATTCGAATAAAACACATAAATCTATATTAATATAATATATTATCAATTTTGAAAAAATAATATAAATTATTGTATTGGAAATAATTTATTATATAACATTGGCTAAGAGACATTTGAAAAATATTCATTCGAATTAAAGATCGAAATTAACGTTTATTAATTTGAAATAAATATTTCAGATTATCCTTCAAAAATATTAAAAAATAATAAAAAAAAAAAAAAGAAGGTGAGAGGGGAAAGTGGTTATCCTTTGAAAGATATGACGAACCCGAACACGATACACAGATTAAGGGTCGACAAAAAAACATCGTCGAATCATTCCGCAGTTTCCGATCGTTCTGTCGTATTACTTCCGTACTACGAAGATCAAGGAAGTGGTGGAAGCGGTCGTGAGATGTTAACCACCAACGGACAGAACGAAGAAGATTATAAAAGGCGAGTTACGAGACAGAACGATAAAATACGTGGCAGTAACGATTGTCAAGAATACAGAGATTTCCACGAAATGAGCCTAAATCAAAAGACATTTGACGAAGTTATCGGTAGGATTGATTTGAAATCATTCAGAGAAATCGATTCGAGTTACGAGAGAATCGCGGATTTGCAAGATTACATTCAAGAGGATAGATCAACGGATCCAATGGTCAACGCGTTGGACGTTTTATTGGAACGAAGGAATTCATTAAATAACGATAATTACGATCAAAATTCTTCAGACGCGTCGGATCTTGTCGAACGCGGATCGATCAAGTATAAATTCAATCGTAATTGTCCGTACTCGAAGAATTCTATCAATTGGTCAGGGAGAAATCAATCAGTTAACATGAGTTTTACGCGTAAACAAGAGAAAATAGAAAAATCAATGGTAGAATCTAAAGAGGGATTAACCAACGGTGGAATATGTTCTGTATTTGATAATAATTGGCAGAGTAAAACCAACGGTGACCAATCGAGCGTAGTTTTAAAGGAAAATAATTCGATGCAAATGGTGAGTGATCAGATATTTCTAATTTGAAGACAGTAGTAATAGGTAAAATCAAAATAATATGAAATGTTTGAACAATTATAGACTACAACGTCCATCCCATCGATCGTCGTAAACGACCACGGAGAAAACACGGTATTGACGATTCTCGGGAAAGGGGCCGATCACGGGGCCCAGGTGTTTTCGGATGCCAGCAACAGTTCTATCATTTCTCAAGCTACGAGAACTTGGCCAGATTCTCCTTTAAGTTGTTACAACAATATAGGAATTTCTCGACCAAACAGCAGATGCTCTAGTTGTACACAACCATCAGCTTCTGGAATGCAATTCGAATCTCAGCTGATGCCGTCCAACATTTCTGGAAGTCCCATTGGCTCGCCACAGGTATTAATTAATACACGTCATTCGCATTAAACAATATGATTCATCATTTAGCGAGCAACGTTCTTACTAGTTGCACGAGACACCTAATCATACTTTCCGCTAGATTACTAATTTGTTTATTTTTTACTGAATGATCGATAGATTCCTACAACGTATACACAGATGCAAGGTCAATCGTCGCCTTCTTCCTCAAACCAATCTTACGGTGATATACCTAGCCCATTAAACTATCAAAAACCAGTTAATCGGCGAATAGAGGAACGGCTTCACAAAGATCTCGCGTGTTTTTCCATTTGGGGTACTTTCCTCGATGATCAAGGAAATATCAACGAAACTGTTCCTACCTTCGACAGCAACGAATTACAATTGTTGGACGAGGTTCTCAGAAGCCAAGGTAGTCAATGCGAAAGAAACGAAGAAGCCCAAGTTGTACCAAGGTCTGAAGATTATTCTAGCAGCTACGACAATCGACCATCTAGTGTACGAACTTTTGAAAATGAACTCGAACGAATGTCATCCGGTAGAAACGATGCGCAAACCTTCCCGTCCACGTCTTCCTCCCTTTACGGAGAACAAAGTACTAGCTTTTCCAATTACTCATCTAGTCCAAATGATCTCCCATATACCTACGTTGCTACACAAAATCCTGTTAACAGTGTTTACGGTGAAAGTCAAACTCAAGTTTCGAACTTTTACGATTACAATGACGTATGGAATACCGGAAACGATATGAGATACGGGAATTCAAATGGTTTGCAATCTGACACGGAATTTATTAATCTCAAACAAGATACCAACGTAACATATGCCAACAGACAAAATTCATCTAACGTAACAAATTCGTGTTCGTTGCCGACGTCTTTTCAATCATTTGCAACCTTATCTTCCATGTCAAATAATATTGCTGAGAACAGGAGAAGACGTTGCACGAGTACCTCGGGTATCTCTTGTCCCGATACCTCCTTCAACGATTTCCAAATACCAGAGATGGTGTCTTCCTTCAAACCTAATCGATCGCATAGGTAAGTACGTTTAATCTAATTCAATTATTCGTATTTTACATCGTTTTAAATTGTATCGTTAGGTCTAATGAAAGGTCCATCAAGCCATGGCCATCGTTAAATTTACCAAGCACTGGTGCCAGCAAGAGACTTCAAGAAGAACTCAAACCAAAAGATGTGGAAATGGCTATGAGCCAATTGTTAGACATAAAAGATGAGGAATTAACAAGGGTAGATAACGACGGATATACGTGAGTAAAAAAATTATTTACATACACAATTATAATCAAATATTATTCATTAAATAAGGGATAAAATTAGAAGAAAAAAATTAACATCTTCGTAAACATTGTAATATTCGCAGACAGTTGATGTGTCTTATGAGCAATCCAGAAGATTTGGCAAAGAAAAAAGCTTATCTCGTGCCATTGGTAGAAAGATTAAGTAATTTTAAAGATGCCTTGTCGAGGAGAAACAATCGTGGCGAGGATGCACTTTATTTGGCAGCAATTTGTTGTCCGGAAATGCCATACATCGCTGGTTATCTCGCAGCTACTATGCTTCAAAAAGGAATCGACATAAATCAAAATCTTTATCATACTCGTGTAAGTAGACGTTTAACTGTTGGTTGTTGGGTATCGTCAATGTTGTTTCTGTAATCTCCCGGGAAATTCCCAAGATTATAAATAGTAACACGGTTTAGTGTTGGTCGAATCGAGAATCCTTGAAAACCGCGACGATACATCCTCGGACGAGTAATTTTCATTATCGCGAATTTTTTCATATAAAATGTGAACGCTCTGACCACGACGACCGTTTGATAACCATGCTATTACAGTTACCCACATATCACTTTCTTTTTTTTTCGTTGCTTGCTTATAACATTTTTGCCAATCTCTCTGACCTTTTCTTTTTACATTTTTTACAGGGTGACACCTTGATACATTCAGTGTCAGCAAGAGGAGACTCTCACGGGGAAGTTTTGGCCGAATTATTGGCACTAAAAACTAGTCAAGGATACGCTGTTTTTGATCTCTCCAAATGCAACTACGATGGTTAGCATTTAAATAATGTTTTTCTTTTTTTCTGTTAAAAGCAAAATATCTATTATCACAAAGTTTTATCCATAAAAAAAAAGTCTTGATTGTTGTCAGTTACAAAAGATTTGATTTTTTTTCTTTTTTTAATCAATTATCAAAATTATATTTTAATTAATCGATAGTTTGTTGAAGAACGATCGAAAAAAAACGAAAAATTAACAACGATTTTATATACGTCATTCAATACAATATCTTATGAATCATTCATCATAAGATTAATTTATTTTTCATTTAGATTCGAAGAAGCAATCAATATCAAGGGGACTCATGCAATACTTTCGTTTCTGTTCTTTTCTTATAGGAAGAACCGCTTTACACGTAGCGGTGGAGTCCCACGACCCTACGGGAAGAAATATCAAGGCCGTTGCCACGGTTCGTTTACTGTTAGACAATGGAGCGGATTTAAACATAAAAGATACTAAAAGTGGCGACACAGCCTTGCACATGGCTGCCGGTCTCAGTTGTGACCCGGCACTCGTCAAGGTACGCACACAAATAAAATTAATTTTTTGTATTTTTAGGATACGGGATACACGAAAATGTAGGATAATAAAAATAATATTACGATTTTTTGTATTATCCATTATTATCATGTATTTTTATTATCCTATTTTATATTTATTAGCAATCAAACAATTTATAATGTACGCTCAATTTTACTGGTTTTCTTTTTTCCATTTTATTATTAAAATTAATTCAATTCTGTGGAAATAAACGGTTCGAAAAATAGCCTCTTCTTAACATTCCAATAATAATCCTATTCTTCTAGATAGAATGATGTTGTTTTTCTTTTATGCACAATTTTTTTTTTTTTAATTAAACGTCTCTCCAACCATTTAAAAAAAAAAAAAAAACACGAATACAATCCAATGCTGTTTTCCAGTTCTGGTGTAAATGCAAATATAACACGCGCAGATTAGAACGATATGCGTGATATTTATTGACTTTGTAACATTGTCTATGACAATGTAATTCAATGCAATGTAAATTTGTTAACTTCCTTTTCTTTTCCCCTTTTTCTTTTTTTTCTTTTTTTAAACATTTATTTCTCGTCTATTATTATACGTAATGCAACTGAAAGATATATATATATACACGTACGACAAAACAAAGCAAAACATACAAAACGCCTAAGCAGTTAAATAATAAAACATGAACCACGTATATTATGTAAATATTATTTATGATCTTAAACTGGTTTCTTTTTTTTTTTTTTTTCGTTGAAATCATTCAATCCTTTTTCTCCAATTTTTCACTCCCATTACGTTTTTATTATACACACACACACACATATATATATATACATTCGTAAAAATAATTTCTTTTATTTGCTGTAAAAATTCTGCCACGATAAAAATATATATATATATATATATATATATATATATATAAAAAACCAGTAAAAAAGGGAAGAAAAAAAAATATACCTGTGTGTATACTATATGAAAGTATTGTTATTTGCAATTTCAACAGGTTTTGTTAAGCAAAGCTGTTTCCGGCACGGTGAACGCAACAAATTACAATTACAATACCCCGTTGCATATGGCTGCCGTTTGTAACACGGTCCCTTTGGAAAGGCAAAAGGAAGTATGCTGGCTCTTGACCCAGGCAGGAGGGCAAACTAACATTCACAATAAGCAAGGGAAGACACCGCTCGCTTTGGTCTCGACCGAAAGGAAGGACCTCATCAGGCGAATCTTTTATAAGAAATTTTGATACTCGCAACGTGTGTCAGGATTTTGAAAAAGCACCACCACCATCATCACCACCACCACCACCAACCCACTCTCGCCCCCCCCATGGAGGAGACTGACGACACTTTACTTATCTTTTCTTCTTCTCTTTTTCTTTTTTTTTTTCTCTTTTCCTTTTTTTTCTCTTTTGGTTTGCACGAACGATAACCAAAAAGAAAAATATATATATAAAATGAAATAATGAAACGAATTGAAGAGTAAGGGAAAAGATATATAAGTTAAATACTAAGGAAAAGAAACAAAAAAAAAAAAAAAAAAAAAAAAAAAAA